GAGGCATGACATTGCTGTCCGGGTGGGTATAACGGGGGACAGCAGAGCAGCAGATGCTTTTGTAAACAGGTGTTTTGGTGCGATAAATGTGCTTTTGATTGGTGTGATCGCCAAAAATGGCTAGTAGAAGCGTGTCGTGCCCTTCGTTGGTCAGCGTTCGGAAATGTCGCTTTATGTAGGCACGTTAGAGGACCACTCCACGCCAAACCAGACCAAACCAGAACAAACCAGACCAGACCAGAACGAACCCATCAGACCACATCAGACAGTTGAAAAAGACGAGACCAGGCCAGGATTTATGCAAGCGATCTGCCCTCTCTCATGCCGTTCAATTTCCACCCAACGCTAGCGGGAATGCCAACCTCAGTGAAACAGTAAGCGTGGTACCTGAGCACGACATCAAAATACATTGGCCCCTCTCAAAACGCGACGCCACAAGGCGGATCTAACCTCAGCACCGGGCACCTTCGGCGGCCGCCGACCCCCGCCTGGGCACCAGGCCGCGGCCACCGACCTCCGCCTGGGCACCAGGCCGTGGCCGCCGACCTCCGCCTGGGCACCAGGCCGCGGCCGCCGACCTCCGCCTGGGCACCAGGCCGTGGCCGCCGAACTCCGCCTGGGCACCAGGCCGCGGCCGCCGCCGTCCTCGCCGGTGGTTTATATCGGAGCGAGGAGCCGTTAGTTGGGAAGTCACGTGCGGCGCGCGCGCCGGCGCCGCGCCTGATTACCTCCAATTAAAGGGCGCGCCAGATCAGCTAAAATGGCGCGAAATTGGCCTGTGCTGCCGGCCGTATTACAAAGGGAGGGGCTGGTGTCGACCGCCGCTGTTGGAGGGCCCTGAATTGGATGAGGAGGTGATACCGATGAGGCTGTTTGTGAAGGGGAAACTTTTGTCAGTGGTGGCGTTGCATGAGCGACTATGGCTTAAGAAGCGATGCAAAACGGTGGCTGAGTCCGCTGTAGTTGTGGTAGTGGTAGTGGTAGTGGTCGTGGCAGTAGGGCTTAAGGCCGTGGTTTTACCGAAACTCGTGGGGAGATCGGGCTGCCTTTGCTGGCCGTTACCAACGATGCAGGCATGGCTTCACCAGCGATGCAGGCATACTGCGGGAAATGCAACACGGAGTTGAATTATCAAGAATCGATGAATTCGAAGTGTCCAATGAACTACTGCGCCAAGTCCTTTTCCCGCCGAAGTGCCCCCGATCGCAACCCGCTGAGCGTCGCTCCCTGTCCGCTAATTCAGCGGGCGCACTCCGCGCGGAGACCCCAGCGCCTGGTTGAAAGCCGCAGCGTTTGTCAACAGATATATCTTGTTACGTTACTTGTGATGTCATTTCGAAAATGACGTCACCCGAAATCAGCATATTTTCACATTGACCAGATATTTCAGTTGGCACGGTATCGCAGTTCACATTACACATCACCTGACGTCAGATGACATGTATTGTTCTCCTTTCAGCCGCGCCCCAACAGGCATCTCCACGTGATGTCACGCGCCGGCCGAGACCATGACCCAGCGCTAGTCTGGGCTGGCGGACTGGGTCAGAAGTGACCCCTGGCGGCCGGACTGGGTCAATAACTGATGACCCCTAGCGGCCGGACTGGGTCAGAACTGATGACCCGTGGCAGCCGGGCGCGCCTGTACCCGCCACAGCGTCTGGCTCAGAGGTCAGCGGTGTCGAACGACGTGACGTCATGACAACGGTGACGTCATGCCGCAGTCTGTCGGACAACGATTTTGGCCGTATTCCCGCGATTCTCGCTGTTCGCGACGTGAAATGTGCCACAAAGGCTTTCACGTTCCCTGATGTGGCTACCAGATGTAATTTAAATTATGACCTAATGAAGGAGAAAAAGAAGCGAATCTATGGTTTTATCTTTGTTTGCCGTGATCAGAGGCCTAATTAGGCAAATAAGAGGTGATCTAAGCAGGGAAAAGTAGCTAAGCTACCGCCAAAATAGGTCAGAAGGGCCCTCCCTCCAGATCTGGTCCCCACCTTGTTTTTAAAGGTGGGAGAGTGGCCTGCAGTTCCCCGCTTCACCTCAGCTTTGTTGGAGACTTGACCCCCGGCCGTGAATTTGTTGGCGGCTCCCCCGCGTCACGTGACCCTTATCGCGGCGACTCGACCTCTCGCTGGCTTCTCGTGCACCCCTGCTAGGAGGCACACATGTCCGCGCAGCGGGGAGAGGTACAGGGCACCGCCACCATGGTCCGGCGAAACGAGCAAGTTCTCACCCAAGTTCACCCTGCTGAAAACATCGCGTCGGCGAATGCTAGCACAGCATTAGGCTGCTGTGCTTTGTTCAAGCGTGGCCACTTCACGCAGGGGGGAATTCGTTGGACGTCAGCCCGGATCTGACTTTGATCAGGACTTGCCGGCTGCGGTGGGCCCGTTCGACCCCTCCGAACGCGCCGCAGCCCGGTGTCGGCGCCCGCACCTGCCATACGAGCACACCTCATCGGAGCCCCAGCACGTGCACCTACAGGTGCTTGCCGCCACCGGCTCTCAGACTTCTCAGAAACTACAGCTCTCAGACTTCTCAGATTTTTTTTCATTTCCTATGGAGGCTGGATACACAGAGCCATCGCATTCCCTCCATATCCCTCCCGCTCTAGTATTATGTTTATATGAAAAACATTTCTGACAGATGCAGAGCATTCAATATTTGCCTGAAGATCCCGTTGCCAAAACTGCTGCAAGCACTTGCATAACATTTCCTGCTATGAAACGTTTTCCGCGATATGATTTCTTATGCGTACACGGAATATCACGCCCAGAATGTATGTCATGCAACGGTTATGTGCCGAGCAGTGTTTTCACAGAGCGACCTAAGTGGAGTTAGTCATTTGGTGATCTAGCAGCATACGAAAAACATCTTCTGAGCGATCAGAAATAGTGCTACACCTCGGTATTGCCATGCAATCATTTTCGGAGGCCAGAATGAGGGCAAAAATATGAGTTGCAGTACGACAAAGTCGATGAGCTTGAAGTACATGGGGATGTTCTGAGCGATACGCGATACACCTGTTACGCTGCATTGCTGGTATCTCCTGTTTGGTAACGAGCACCTTCGTACTTGCGAGAAACCTAGAATGCCTTCGAAAGAGAGCAAATAGGAAAAAAAGAAGAAAGCCTTGCGCGGGTGTCTTAGCTGTAAAACCATGTGATACAAAAAAGCTGTCTCACAATCTGGATCTCATCGTTGAATCGATGACCTTTGTCATGAAGTCAAGTTGACGGTCCTTGACCCGCCACTCGGTACCTCAGACATTGTGTCTCAGGCACTCTGGGCTACTGACGTGCACTGTGACCTTGTGTGCGACCTCTGGGCTACTAGCTCACATCGTGACCTTGTGTTGCGATTTCTTGGCCTCTGACCCACACTGTGACCTTGTGTGCGACATCTGGGCTTCTGGCCCGCACCGTGATCTTGTGTGCGACCTCTGGACCACTGGTCCGCACTGTGACCTTGTATGCGGCCTCTGAGCTACTGACCTGCAATGTGACCTTGCGTGCGGCCTCGGGGCTACTGGTCCGCACTGTGACCTTATGTGTGACCTCTGGGGTCCTGGCACACACTGTGGCTTTGACTGCGGCCTCTGGTGTACTGGCCTGCACTGTGACCCTGTGTGTGACCTCTGGGATCCTGGCACACACTGTAGCTTTGTGTGCGGCCCCTGGGGTACTGACATGCACTGTAACCTCGTGTGTGACCTCTGGGATCCTGACACACACTGTGGTTTTGTGTGCGGCCTCTGGGGTACTGGCCTGCACTGTGACCTTGTGTGTGATCTCTTGGATCCTGGCACACACTGTGGCTTTGTGTGGGGCCCCTGGGATACTGGCCTGCACTGTGCCATTGGCGGCAAAAAACAGCAAATGGAAGACATTGCTCCTCCTTTAGCGATACCGTTCCAGTCCGTATTTCGTCTCAGGACTGCCTGGAAGGTGCCCCGGACTACCTGCACTGAGAGGTGCGGAGCGCCACGGTCGCCTGGAGTCCGTGGTCGTTTCGGTTTTCTCGGACTGACGTGGGGAACTCGCTGGACTGATGAGTCACGATCTGCGAGGCGACTCTGGCCCCGTTGGGGACCGTTGGGCGGGGTGAAGCCGTCTCGCTACCTCGAAAGAAAGTTCGGGTACCACAGGGATTCAAACCCCGAACCTCTGGTTTCCCAAACACGCAGCTTGGCCAGTATACTTTTGTTACCAACTATCGGAATCACTGCGCCGGAAATACGACGCTTTATGGATGCTGCATGGGTGTTGTACACCGCCTCAGGCTGGCAGCCAGGTGCGGCGAAGGCGGTGGACGGGGAGGGGGACGGGAAGGGGGAGTGGGAGGGGGGCTTGCAAGGGCAGCCACCCGTCTTTGGAAGCATCTTATTAATCGCTTGGTGATGCATAGAAATGAGCTCGAAATCGCCTTAGAGGCCCGCCTGCGATGGTTGAGTCACGTAACCCATGCTGCTCCGATCATACGAAACTCATGATGATGGCAATTTCATCTGACTCATGCCGTCACGCCCGAAAGAGCATATGAAATCCATAACTTCATTGCTGTTTCCCACAGCCGAGGATGGGGTGGCCAAGACCCCCATCAGCGACGTAGAGTGGTGTTTATCGTCGCAAGATCCCGGCCTCGTAATTTCGCGTCGTTTTATCGCAAGCCCGGCGTCGATTTATTCGCGCCCTCTGAATCTATCTGCCGTCCCGGCCCGGACGACGTGCTCGGCGAGCGCCGCAGCCCTCGCTCTATTTACATTCCGAATTCAACGGCGAATCCCCTAAAGCCCCCGCCATTTTCCAGCGCCAGTTTTCCGCTTCTTGCCGGCTGCGCAATCGATGCGGCGCCAGCCAATCAGCGGCCGGCGCGGCATGACGTCAGCGCCTGCCTGGCCGCCGGCGCGCGGCCGGCAGCCAATCAGCGCGCGGCGCCGCGCCGTGGCGAAGCTAAGCACCCACAACGAGAGGCCGGATTCAGAGGGTTAACAGGCTTACGGCGGGATAGTGGTGCATTTTGTTGTGTTTGATATATTACGCCAGCTTACTGCCGGGATCGTCCGACTTAGAGCGCAGATCGGCGCATCAGCCCCAGCCCAGGTAGCGCGGCGAGTAATTCCGCGCCAAATCGCGGCGGATTGACGCCGAGCCAGCGGGCTTTCGCGGCGGGCGCGCGCTAATCGGGTCACGCCAGGTCAAGGTTGCCATGGAGGGCTTGGCGGCGATGAACGAGATGTGCCTGCAGGAGCTGGTGCACGTGCAGGAGGCGATGCCGGCGATGCCGCCGACGCACCAGGCGCTGCAGCCGTCGGTGAAGTCGGCCGCACTGGACGGCACCACCGAGATCACCAGCCTGGGCCCGGAGTCGTCCGGCAGCGGCGCCGGGCCGCGGCGGACACCCAGCACAGGTACTGTACCGTCGGCCACGGCCGCCAGCCGGCCCGGCGGCGGTGGCCGGATCCCCGGGATGTGGTTGTGTTTCCCACTGAAGAGTGTCAGATGTGTTCCCTGGGCAGCACGGCCGATGGATGTGGCCACGGCCGAGGTTACCGAGGTAGGCGTGTGAGCTGTTCTCTCGCGCTGAGTGAGAGCTGTGCTCTCCTGAGGGCAGCTGTGCTCTCCTAAGCGGAGTGAGCTATGCTCTCCTTGTGAGTGTGAGCCGTGCTTCCCGGGGATGTGAGCTGTGCTCCCCTTGAGAGTGTGAGCTGTGCTCCCCTGGGGTGTGCGTTCTGTGCTCCCCGGGGATGTGTACTGTGCTCCCCGAGGGTGTGATCTGTGCTCTCCTAGGTTGTGTACTGTGCTCCCCTGGGGTGTGTGTGCTGTGCTCCCCGGGAATGTGAGCTGCGTTCCCCTGGGGTGTGTGCTGTGCTCCCCGAGGATGGGAGCTGTGCTCCTCCCCCTGGGGGATGTACCCAAGGCCAAGTTACCCTGGGGAATGTGAGCTATGTCCCCCTCCCTCCCTCCCTGGGAGTGTGAGTTGTGCTTCCCTGGATAGTTCGGGCCGTGCTCCCCGAAGAGTGTGACCACGGTCGAGTTACCCCGCAGGATATGGTTACGGCTCAGCGTGGAAAGCGTGTTCGCAGCTGTGCTGCTGCTCCTGTGTTCCCGTGCTTCTGCACTTAAGGAGCGATACACGTGGGTGGCTTTCTCCTGAGCTTACCTCAGACTGTGATCGCAGCTACATCCCCCAAGAGAACTCCGGTTTGCTACCCTGGTCTGCGTTCAGGAGAGGCGCTACTGGTGGTGCGGGAGATACGGCTCCCTCCCATCATCGCGAGAGTTAACATCACCTCCCATGGTGTTTCATGGAAAGAAGGGAACCTGAAATACCTTCTTTTGCCTGTAGCCATACTCTGCCCACGGCTGGAGGATAAGGTGTGTGGTGTGGGAGCGGCCACACCAGTTTTCATCAAAGTTATCATCATTTTGTCATTTGTCATTGCAAACCACTCTTCCGTCAGTCCCCTGCACCAAGTTTTCGTAGCGTTCTCCATCGGTCCCCTGGCCCCCACGTAACAGCAAGTGAAGCTCTCCATCAGGGCCCCCTGCCTCCATTTGCCAGCAAGTGAAGCCGTCCGGGCTCTCCATGGGTACCCCCTGCCCCCATTAGCCCTTTGGTTGTGCGTCTCCAGACCGTGGCAATTACACCGCCTCAGGCCCTGCTCTGACCACCCGTTACCACCAAACAGACTCTTGCGGTCAAATGCTTGTTCAACAGTTTATGTCCAACGCTTGCAAGAATTAGCAAAAATGGAACTAGACACCATCAGCGCCTTTCAAAAATAATTGTGGGAATGGGGCTCAAGCGGAACTTTTGACGTTTTGGAAGCATCCTTCCCAGGCAGCATCGCAGGGCTGAAATTGGAGGAAGTAAAAGGCTTGGGACAGCGCTCTAAAGCATGCAGTGCCACCCCTGCCCGTTTCCCACCTCGACCTCTTCCAGTTCTCCCGCAGTCGTCACGCGTGGCTGGGGGTCTGACCCGGGCCTCGGTCCAGGCCCCGCGAGAGAGCTGGGCAGACTTAACGTTGCGTTCAAGATCGGGTTTGAACAGCATGTGCCAGGCTCATTTGGCTAGGCCTGGGACGAAATGCTGTTAGAGCACTTGGGGATTGCAGTTTTGGATTGGTGTGGTGTGTAGGAAAAGAGGGCGTATGCGCCCGTCAGGCAACGAGTCATCAATCTTCGCCGTCGTCATAAGGGCGATCTTCACCGCCATGTGTCGGAGACCATGATGGTCAAAGGAAATGCCTTCATCGCCTGGATCTGACTATTTGTCGCAAATCATGCGGTAGTATGAAAATTAGCAACATGAATATACGATAGGAATCAATATAATTAGGCCATGCAGCCATGTTATGCCATATGTTATGCGGCCATGCATGTTATAAGGCCATGATATATCACCGGTTTTGGTAAACATCACATGATTTTCCGTCACGCTCATCACAAACCACATAGCCATAAACCATATGAAACCATCAAGCCACCCACTGCGTTTTTCTCACAACGGTCGCCAACAGCGGAGCCTGCGCCTGCCGCGCCAGCCCTGTCCGCTGTCTCTGGAAGCTGAGCAGCGATACACGGCGAGGTGCGTGTCGTGGGCTGGGGGACCCGATTCCTCGCTCAGCAGCGGCGTGACCGGCACCCGTTCGGCCTTCTCTCCAGCCAGGGGTGATCCGGCCCGCTTCCTCTCCAGCCAGGGGTGACCCGGCCGCCTCCTCTCTAGCCAGGGGTGACCGGCCCGCCTCCTCTCTAGCCAGGGGTGAGCCACCCCTTCAGCATGGGTCTGCAGTGTGGAGCGGACGCGCGGGCTTGCCCCCCCCCCCCCCCCCAGAACACCACAACGCCTCTGTTGTGCCGTGCTATGCAGCGGCCCGTCAGCGCTGTGGCGCCGGACGTCAGCCGGCTGTGGCGCCGGACGTCAGCCGGCTGTGGCGCCGGACGTCAGCCGGCTGTGGCGCCGGACGTCAGCCGGCTGTGGCGCCGGACGTCAGCCGGCTGTGGCGCCGGACGTCAGCCGGCTGTGGCGCCGGACGTCAGCCGGCTGTGACGGCCGGGATCGTCGCTAAACGCGGCCGGACTCTCTTGCTCGGTGGTGAGAAGTTTACATGCTGAAGTTCCTTTTTCATTTGGGGACGAGGGGGCTTCAGCCCCCCCCCCCCCCCACAGTAGTCGGCGCGCCCTAAAACTCCAGTCAACAACAACAGCCCCCCCCCAACTCCCCAACTTTGGGAAGAAAGTGGGCCAAACCCAGGGAAAAGCCGCTTGCTGGTGCGTTTTGGGGATAAATTACATCATTTTCACTGTCCAGCACCCCAAAATCGTTCTTCAAAACCACGCCCCTGTATACGTGACTTGGCCCGTGCCGGTGTGGACTGTAACGCGGCCGCAGCAACATTGAGACTGGCACCGAGAGGGTCCTCCAGCTGTCTGAGAGCTGAACTGGGCACCTGTCCTCCAGCCGTCTGAGGGCTGAACTGGGCACCTGTCCTCCAGCCATCTGAGGGCTGAACTGGGCACCTGTCCTCCAGCCGTCTGACAGCTGAACTGGGCACTTGTCTGCTCTGAGTGGCGCGAGCCGGCGGCCGCATGTCACCGGCTGACAGCCCTGGCACAGCCGCAGATCAGGGTCCTGTCTAGCTGCTCGGCCGGGTCCTGCCGCCGTGCTCACCAGCTGGTGTGTGCTGGTGCGGCTGGTGATGCCCGCTCGGCCGGGTCCTGCCGCCCTTTGGTGCCGTGCCCACCAGCCGGTGTGTGCTGGTGTCTGCTCAGTCGGACCCTGCCGCCCTTTGGTGCCGTGCCCACCAGCTGGTGTGTGCTGGTGTCTGCTCAGTCGGACCCTGTCGCCGTTTGGTGCCGTGCTCACCAGCTGGTGTGTGCTGGTGCTGAGGCGGCTCGCTCAAAGCCCCTACCGCGCCTCGCCGCCAAAAACTCCGGTTTGGGCGGCTAGGGCTCCGTTTAATGCACGCGTAGCACCAGGCGTCGGGTCCAGCGCACGTGCTTTCTCCTGTATCCGGCGTGACTAATCTGATAGGATTATCGCCGTTGATGCAGAGGTTTGAACCGGCAATGAAGCGGCTCTAATGGATGCAAAGCGATTCTGGGGGCAATGATGCTTGCAAATTACCAGTATCAGTTTGTCAAGATTAAATATGCTCGCTCTTTAAAAGGGCTGATATTGTGCTGTGTGCACGTTAGATTATGAAGACGTTAACACATGGGGCGCTTGCTTATGAAGCAAGAGTAGTGAATGCCGATGTTGAAAAATTTTGCGGACCCCTGGGTACTTTTTATATGTGGCCAGTCTCAAAAGTGTGATACATAAATTATCCCTTCATTTATCGTGCCATTACGCTGATATCAGTGGTGCGTTCGACCTTGCTCTGAGCGAGGGTTGGTTCGCAGTATTCGCTTCCATTTCACGATCATTCCGCTTTTCGTAGCTGGTCGAAGTTCATCACAGAATCTGAAACAGGAAGTTTCAGAGGAATTGAGTTTCTGAAACGCGATGAAAGAGGAAGTGCCGCTACTCAGGTAGACATTCAACTGAGTACTCGTGAGTTTATATAAACTGCAAATGGCGAGACATTAAAATGTTTCAATGATATGATGCGTGTTAAGTGTGATAAAAAAGTGCATAAAAGAGTGCGATTTTATAGCCTGCGTCGTTCAAAGCGTTCCAATCCAGGGGGCCTGGCGACTTAGGCATCAGTGCATGACATAAGCTCCGCCGGCCGTGAGCAGCACCAAAGTCCCGCCGACACGCATGCGCTGAATTTGTTGACCAGTCCAAACCGCTCGACTGACCGCCAACAGTTTATGGCGCCGCCATCTTGAAGAGAAATAGCGCTGCTTACACTTTTGACAAGCACTTTGTGCTTGGAATGTCCTCAAAATGAGCTGTTTATGACGTGTCCGGGTGGCCCACGTTCTCTTTCAAGTGTCATATAGAGCGGTACCTGGCCCTGTACATTCAGTGCAGAAAATTTCCGACGCTAGGTTTGAAGGCCAGGTTGGTTTTAATGTCAGATTTCAAGATTTCCCTTAGGAAGTTAGCTTTACACTTTTCATTTCGCACTAAATTCGTGCTTCTGCACACGAATTCACGTCGAGCCCAAGGTTGTCACCCCACAGCGGTGGACAAGATCGGCCGTGTTAGGAGAGTCCACAGCGGTGGACAGGACCGGCTGCGAGAGAGGGTCCACAGCGGTGGACAGGACCGGCCGCGGTGAAAGGGTCCACAGCGATGGACAGGGCCGGCCGCGGTGAAAAGGTCCACAGCGGTGGACAGGACCGGCCGCGGTGAAAGGGTCCACAGCGGTGGACAAGGCCGGCCGTGTTAGGAGAGCCCACAGCGGTGGACAGGACCGGCCGCGGGGGAGGGCCCACAGCGGTGGACAGGACCGG